AAAGATAAAAAAGAAAGAAGTAAATAAATATGTATATAATATATAAATAGAACAATGATTTGGTAACGGAATAGCTTACTCATCAAAAGTACCCAAATGCTGTCTATTAATTTAATTTAATCTCAAAGATCATTTCGGAAGTCAAATCAAAGTAATAACGCTTTACTATAACTTGATGAACAGTCTGTGATCAACTCCTTACCGTAATAACACATTAAATAACTCATTCAGTCTAAGACTGACTGCAAATCTTTATCACGGGTCTTTTTGACTGGAAATGAAATTTCTTTCAACTCAAAGAGACCTTGTGTATTATTTAAGTTATTATAAAAAGAGGCTCATAAACGGTCAAAAACTATATTGCGTTGCATATATGCATCCGTTTATTCGTATTGCTCAGGGGAGAAAATTAATTAATACGATGTGTCATACTTATTAGGATATATATAAAACCTCCGGTTTTTCCGTCATGCAAATGGAGGATATTTAAAGTAGGTACCAGAGGACTTTTTATCATTATCATCACAGTTCGTAAGATTCACTTTCAGCGCATTAGAGCAGTCAACAACTCTAAGCCAACTGGACTAGACATAACGGTAAGTTTTCACACAGGAGGTATTAAGTTATAGATTTTTTTTTGACGATTTTTTAGGATAACATTCCATCGTATTTTTACAGTTCTTCAAAGGAAAAAATAATGCATTATTACAAGCCTTTTAAAGTAGTCGGCCTTAATTTCTATATTGACTAGTGTTTTTTTGCCAGTCCGCTGGAGTATATATAAGCCAAAGATGGCGGGTAAAATTGGAATGAAAGAGAGAGAAAGACCGAGAAACCTCGATTGATYATTAAGCTGGCCGATTCGTCGATGCTTTGTTCTCTATTTAAATTTAATAGTAAAGTAAAGAATGCACAACTTCTACAATACAATCACTTTGAAAATCCAAGGATTTCTACTGCAACTCGTCAATATTCTGCGCAAAATCGAGGCTAACCCTGAGCAACAGAGAACTCGAAACTGGAGCATTTTGTAAAATAAATAAATAAATAAATAAATAACTTATTTAATTTATAGTTCGTATTCTTGTTTACACAATTTTTTTAAATCAAGGCCGCCAATAGCCTCCTTTGCAGACGACCCTAAGAACGGCTGCAAAGGAGGCTAGGTCGTCAAAGAAACACTTAAAGCTACCAAAGTACACTGCTTAGGAATCGAAGCTAAGATATTAGCAAGTTGGTTGAGTTACAGTATCAGATTCAGTATCACTTAAGCTTTTAAATRGATTTTCTTAAATTACTCTGACAGAAAAAAGAATTACCAGAGCTAGAAAGAGCATGTTAAAGACAGTAAAACTGGGGAGTTTGGGAGAAATATGCTCATATGGCTTTGCAGGAGGCAAGTGACGCCTCTAACGAATGTTTTCGTACAAAATTTCGATTTTTGAAAATTAATATCTTTTGCGACTTCCTTTCTTCAARGTTCACAGTTTTTCTAAYTTTAACACTACTCTCTTTCCAGCTATGATAATTATTCTTYTGTGCATGTCCTGTGAGGTTTATAGAATATTAAAGCTCGTTTACATGAGAAAGAGTTACCCAGGAGTCCAGAGGTTATTTATTCTCGCTYCGGCGTTTGTTGTTTTGAAGGGAAGTCCCTTTGGCGCGCGCTCGCTACAAGAAGCGAAATAGAACCTTCGGAGCCCTGGGTAGGCCAAAGTAAACAAAAACCAAAAAAAGAAGGGTATGACGCATAATTTCCTAGTTATATGAACATGATGGTGAAATCAAGTTTTGTTTTTCCTAAACTTGAAATCATTCGCTGGAGAACCGGCTTTGCGCGCACGTCAATAACACTTCGGTCCATTCAAAGGGAGATGGTTGTTATGTCTTGGACGAAATTGAAGAAAAAAATTAAAAGAAGTTAAAGAATCCGCTAGAGAACCGCTTATGCTTGCACGTTGTTAAAAAGTCGGCCCATTCAAAAAGAGACGGTGGCTGTGTTTTGGTCGAAATTGAAAAAAACATTAAAGGTGACGCCCTTTACAATAATGCATGCGCTTTGGTCAGGACTTGGAGAAGATTCGTGATTAAAGTGTTAGATTTTGTGAAAGGAGAAACACCTTAAAATATGGAGAAAAATATCGGAATAATGATAGTCTGGGAGCTTATGTCTATGATGAAAATGCAATATAAAAAATATCACCTCTTCTCTAATCTTTTTTATATTTTTATCACGTCACAAACAGCCTACGTCAAAAACGATCGTCTCAAATGCATGCGAGGTGTCTAGAATAGAGATTTTTGACGTTTTTCCGGGTGCAATATCAGATGATTTTTTTATTTTTTTACAGAATTGGCTTTTTCATTTTAAACCCAGAAAGCTATTTTAACTGGGACGTCATAGCTGATAGCTCTATGTTGATGATGACATCTGTTATTTGCCACCTTAAAAAACTTTAAATTTAAATTCTTTAAATCGAACTTTTGGTTTTGCTCTTTTCCAGACCAGTTCAGATTCAACCGAAAACTAAAAAATGGCGAGTAAATTACTGCTATGTATGGCTCTGTTGATGGCGGTGTTTGTCCTGTCTGTAGAATGTCGGCAAAAAGCAGGTGAATACTGAGCTACTATGTACTTATTTTGTCTCTAATCAAATAATTAATGTAAATCGTCCTCTCTTGTTATACGAGGGTGGCACTTGATTGGCCAGTGGCTAACAAACCGTGGCCCTCATTCCATGATCGAATTGGAATATATTTTTTTGTAGAGGGAGGAAAACCGGAGAACGTGGAGAAAAACTCTTAAAGCACACGATAGAACTAACGAGCAACGCTACTTACATACGACACAAAAATCTTTAGTTATTGCATACTGTAAACACAGACAGCCTTGCAGGATGTTGTCTGTCGTTTGTCTGTGTATATGTTATTTGAATATATTTTATTAGATTCTTATTTAATAAAGAATGTTAGATTATTATTTGATTAAAAAGCCTCATGCATCATCACCGCAGACCTACTACGTTTTATATTTATTGTTTTCTTTCTTTTTTTTTCTTTCTTTTTTTTTTTTTTTTAATTAAGGAATTGTACAAGCCGATGGATACCGCCCAAGACCAGGAAAGAAACGTAAGATGAAGTATAGTTTTATAGTCATTGTTACCTATTAATTATTATTAATAGTTTTTGCTAACACAATAAATATAGATGTAGATTATGCACCCCCCCCCACCCTCCATTATTTTCAAACGTCTTCGAACTTGACAAACTCGTGTATTCAGTAATAGAGATAAAGGATAATATAATAGATACAAATGGCTAATAATAATGAATAGAAGTAGCATACGCAAAACGTTTTCATTTTCTTTGAAAATATTTTTTTTAGTTGAATTTTTTTTTCTAGTTTTGTTGAAACATTTTCTTTTTTATTGCTTAATTTAACAGAATACGATGGACAAGAAGAAGACTATGGTGAGTGAAAGACAACAAAAAAGGAAATAAAACAAAGAAATGAATAGAAAAAAGAAGCAAAACA